ACAAGGACACATTTATCGAACAAAACCTAACGGGCTTGGGCTTGGGCTGGCCTAACTGCTCGATCCCGAAGCTATCCGAGAAACTCTGGATGGTCTCAGAGGCCGTTACCTTACTCTCAAAGAGGGAATATCATGACAATGCTGTTACATTATCCCACGACAGAAGGAAGTCTATGATGACCTGGCTCGATTGAAAGGTCCGTGTGAACTATGTAGACGGTAGCATTTGTTGAAACATATAACACTTGTACGATACGAATCGAAGGTACTGAAGGTGGAGAACAATGTGAAGCAACACATGACTATTCGACATTTAGAGAAGATCCGAAAATTGCTTCTGCTGATGTACGGGATCCCACCTTCAGATCGACGATGCTACACACCGAAATCGACGGCCTTACACATTCATTATGAGAGCGAAACAGATCATTCTACTGAGTTCTTGGCTTATCATAAGTGTGTGTAACGTTTTACCACCGAACGGTTACACAACTGCGCAAGTGACGTGTGTATTTTGATCGGAGTCACCAAGCAATTTCGGCCTCACGGAAACTGCCAAAGCGTACCCAATTTCCGACAGCCGTTCCAAGTCTGGATGCAGTGAGGAATTTTTAGGCGTAAACAAGCCATGTTGGTTTTCGCAAGAGAACCGCATTGTTCTATTACGTTGCATCGTCTCGATCTACATCGACTGGCAATAAGCAAAGATAAATTGTGTTTAGGCCACAATCAACGTCAACTTATGGTCCCTAGTTTATTTCGCATGTTCATACGGCTTAAAACAGGCCACAGGAATGGATGACTGACCGAACGATGGGGGCAAACTAGTGCCCTACCAGGTTGTTGAAATAAAGCCAATGGAGTCTAAACGAGCACAGCCAAACAGGTTCCTAAACAGTACAGACGTTTTTGGCATGGGTAAGGTTTAGGACTGCTCCACCACCTCTCTGCTAGTACAGGATGTCAGTTTGCCAAAGAGTACCAGCAAAATGACCAACAAATCTCGCGAAATAAATAGCCGCGAAAGGGAGCGACTTGATGTTGGCTATAGGGGAGATATAAGTTTGAAAATTGGCCACTGCTGGGGTGAGGGAATTGGTCTTTCAACATTATACAACTTTTGCAGAACTCAAGAAGCACTGCAATCATTGTCACCATTAAGACTGCATTGTATTGGAATACCTCTTTCCCAAATAAACACGTTCTGCTATGATTCCCACTCGAACCTGATTAGTACCAAGATGTTACTGACGACGGAAAATGACATTTTACAGGTCCGTCATCTTAGTTAAAGGAAGAAGGGGTGTGAAGTTTCTAGAACATTTACGCTTCTCAAAAGAACTTTTCCCCATCACCCACGACGTCTAATCGTGATGGAGGCTGCTGTACACATCGAGTGGAGTCAAATAACCACAGCTAACCAATAGATCCCGAGTGCAAAGAGTAACGAAAGGTTCCGTGTGATTGAGCTATTCGGGATCTGATTAAATTTTTCCTAAATGGCACACACATTGGTACACATACACACATTGGTACATACATTGGCACACACACAAGAAAACACTTTTGGTCCTTCCTGCAGGGCTGTTTACCTTCTGGAAGGATGACATAAGTGAATTGTCTTCAGGTCTGCAATTGTTTGAAGGCAATTTTGACAGCAGGTGGAGGATTTAGTGACATTCACTTCTCTTTTCGTATACAATTAAACATAAAGAATAAAACTCCTTCATAGTCCACTAAGATGAGAACTTAAGCGAATTTACTGGCCAGAAGGTTCGTCGTTCGAACCCGACCTCTGCCTCTCGACATCCCGTGCCTAGGCTTGGGCAACCTGACAGTATCCCAGCCCTCGTGCTTCCGTCGGGTGGCATGGCAGCTGGGCACCGAAAGGGTGTTACAGCTGAGCGATCTCTGTGTCGACCGGTGCTTGACATACGTTGAGGTACAGTAATTTGTTGAAGAGGCCTAATCGTAGGTTAGCTTCTCCCTGCGGAGATTTCATACTGTGTTGCGGATGATCTGTGCAGTGTCTATGAAAGTGGCTTATATTCGGACGGTCGTCTCTGAGGTGATAAATTTGCCTCCGATAGACCAGAATAACATAGGTTGTTCTTTTACATCCAATCCTCCATATCAACAATGTCCTTACATTCTGGCCGGTAGCCATGCGACTAATGCAAAAGACTGATAGTTTAAAGAGATAACTCACCGAGGCATGTGCACACGAGATGGTAGAGATAGATGCGACCGTCCAGAAACGCTCGATTTGTCATTGACAACAACTGATTTGCTCGACCGAACTGCACTGGTTCTGGATTTTCCACTAACCGAAAAGGTCTCGTCCTGTTCGGGAATGGATTCCAAACTAGATTGATTCCGTTCTCGTCGGGCCATTATGCGGGCCGAGTTACGTACAACCTTCTGATATTCCGGATTAGTCATGCCCTGAATGACTTTACGCCTTTGGGGAGGAACAAAGAGAAAGCAGAATGATTCCAGCACAAACCGGAAGGTAAATTCTGGCAAATCAGCTCCATGAAAAACGTTTTGTATTGTTTTTTGTGGCTAACTTACATCAACGGCAAAGAAAAACTACGTACCCAAGTCCATATCTTTCGTCTGTAAAACAATAGTACGCAGATGTGGTGCCACTATGTAAGCACATGACTACACCTGAATGTGCGATAGCAAGAGGTGTCATCTGAAAAAAAGAAACGATGGAGGAAACGATCCGTAATAGACTTCCAAGAAGATCCACACTTCTCGGGCTATGGAACCTGAGACCAGATGCGAGGTGGCAAAGTAATAGTTTGTCTTGTTAACCAGGCCGGTTGAGAAGACCACCATGCAAACACAACTATAACCGAAGGAGTTGATGAACATGTCTCCTCCTTTCGGAGGTTGATTTTTCTATGGAAAAGTTGCACTTATATCTCAACAAACGAGCTGATAAAAAAATTGACCATTTGTTCCCATAATGGCAATTGAAAGCGAGCCGTGCACCTTCAATAAGACTGTCAGGCTTTCAGCTAGTGATCAGATAGTACCCAAACACGACTGGAAAACCGATATTTTTCCAAATGTGAATTATTCACACCAGAAGGGCAAGCTTAGTTAGATGCACAGAGGACCAAATTTGTTATTGGCAGTGGGGTGCCACGATTTCAGCATTCGTCCGTAGATTGGATTGACTTACCCAAACTTCTTGATCATTTTTTCGAGGATTGACTTAACAGCAAATCGTAACTGTCTTTTCTGAGTTGAATGCAGCGATTGCAAAGCCTGCACCTAGAAGGAAACAAGTCAAATGTTGGTGACAAAAACGATCTTCCGAACAAAATTCTGGCCCCTACGCAACATGAGCTTGTGACAACGTAAACAAGAGGTTGCTAAATTATGCACACCGAACGCAAAGATGAGGAATTTTGGAGGTAGGGGGTTTAAGGAAGTCCCTTGAAGTAAGAAGGGATGGAAGAAAACCTGGAGTACCAGCCGTGGTTAGGCCTGGTTCGTGCATTTCAGGCAACTAAGAAGTTTATTCGCCAGAAGACTTAAGTCATCATTAAGCCTCTTAGACTGCTACTAACACAGTGTTCCCCCGAACATGGACCGCCTGTGGTCCTGTCCTGAAAGTATAGTTCCGTGAGATAAAACCCTTGAGTTTACGTGACAATCGCGTTGTACTGCAGAGCTTAATTGCAAGGTCAGCCAGAACCGCAATTTTCTCGAAAGCGCTCTCCTTGTAAAGGGCAAGGTTTCAGCCGCACTTTCATGGCATTCTTCCACAAAACTGAGACGGAAACTCAGTGGCCTGAAGGAAAATACAATTAGGAGTTGTTATGCTAGTTTACAAAGAACAAAACTAACTAAGGTCACCGTGGAGAAAAAATAAAGGAAAGATTATCTGGGGTACTTGTGATCAACTACTGTGATGAATGAATTCGAGTGTTTACATCCGACTCCCATTAAATGGTAAAAAAATCAAGGACAAGGAAGGAAAATATACGAAGCGTTGTCAGCATGTGTATTTACTTGGTTGGTTGTGACTTGCTGGACGATCCCCTATTTGTTTCTGAGCAACCTAGTATTATTCAGCACTCAAACTCATCGTCGGTCGTTTTGGTAAAACAACTCACGTGTTCGTAGAAGCGATGAAGCGGCTGCCGCCTGAAGACAGTGAAGTTTTTGTCCGCTTTGATATAGTCCCTCTCCATACTAGCGATCCTATTTCTGACAGTTTTATAAAAACACTGAGTTACAAAAAGATACTACTTTAGCTTCACTACTCTTTCTGTGCAGGTTACGTTACGCTTGAAGTCCACTGTTTTTATGTTTAAATGTTCACTGTACCAGGAGACGCACCAGTTTTTCCCATGGTGGCTTACATTAATTCACAAATGTTGCATAGTTAGTGCAGCGGAAGTGTTCCCGATATGCGTGGATGACGTGAAAACAAACTTCTCGTTTCCCCTTAATTCCTTGTTCAGTGCGACCGAATTCACACTAGAACATGACATACATGACATGACGAGAGGCACTTTTGATCATGAAACCTCTTGAAATGATTATCAGTTGGGAACTACCGTCTAACCGGGAGCCAATACAGTCAGGGCGCTACCTGAAGTTCGCCTCTGCCCATCGGTTGTGCATGAAGAGGGCTAGTACCTCGCTATTAACTCAGCGAAACAAGTTTGTCATGACCCATCACCAATCGAGAACGAAATCAGCCACATCAAGTAACCTTTGGAAAGTATTTGGTAACCTCCAGAATTTACTGACCACACACTGCAACCATCAGAACAGGGTGGATCAATCAAGTCCAGGAACGATCCCACAAATATGTTACTACTTCGGTCACCAATAACAAACACCCGACATAGCCGTAACGACGAACTCAGGCATTAGACGGACAAAACGGTTCACAAACAGTTCGTACTAAAGATCAAATCAAGTCTGAGAACCGAGCAAACTGGGTCTACGGAATCGAACGCAGCGAGTGCGACGATGTCCACACTGGTCCAACCAGTAAACAGTTGAAGGTTTGGGTCAGTGGACACAAGCGGAATTACAGTGAACTAACTACGCTGAAGATGGACTCAGCTATAGCACTCAACACACTAGCTGAGGTCCACCATGTCGACTCTGATGACACGGGGACCCTACAGCAAATTCACAGTGCCACTGTGAGGATCATATGGCAGTTCAAATAAACGCTTCATGCGTTACCAATGTCAGTTTATCTGCAATCTCCTCCGGCTCGCTAAATCACAAAAATAGAGTCACGAACGGTGGTTAGTGCGTGACTCGACAGCCCAATCTCATGGCCAATACACGTGTTCAGATCAGAGATCACATACGAATGACTGGTTTGACCTTTCGCCCATAAATCTAGTGATACGGTTCGCAGGACTGGAACCAGTGGTCGTCTCGCAGAGGAGGTCCCTATTCTAAAAGAACAAATTATGAGGTCGTGCATTTCTGCACGAAACAGCCAGGTTGGGGCAGCTACTGGACTGCGTTTGGAAGAGCCCACCCGAATGACAAAACCTAAATGAATGGAAATGTCAACACTTAACGTGAAACATCAGACGAAAAATCTGAATAATTCAGTCGTCGCGTTCTTCCTACGCAAGGCTTTTAGGAACACGAGGACTAGTGTGTGGCTAGGTGGTCCGTGGCCTGCACAGAAGCAACGACGAGGTAATGGGTTGGCTCGAACCCGGGAGTTAGTCTCAAGCATGCGATTCCATCACGAAAGGCCCAGGCACACATGGTTTTGGTTCCTATGGAGATCAACCAGTGGGGCACAAAGAGATGGGCAGCGTAAAGGGAGTAAGAACTTGAACTATAATGCTTTCCCCTGTGCGAATAGGTCTTTGTTTCCTAATAAAGGAGAGCTAATCTGGATAGGATCACAAAACTCCCTAAATATACTCTGTGAAATACAAAGGCGCTAATTACCGTTATTGAGGAATTTTATCAGCTCACAAAAACTGAGAAAGCGTTGAATCACTTCAAAATAACCGGAACATAGAATACCAAGCCGCTGGAACTTTATGAACACTGCTATCAGCAAAAGACTACCGTGAGAAAAGAGATGCCGTAATGCTCTTAATTGAGGCTGCCCGTGAAACTCGATCAAAATGGTCCCGGCTGCGAGTGTCAGTCAATTTACGTGAGGAATGGATATCCCTTCATTCGGCCAGTCAACTTCAAATTAAGTTGCAAATGAGTGTATAACTATCCTAGCCGTTCAGGACTTCAAACTAATGTAGCTTCCAGTTTAGGAGATAGGATCCTGTCTGACACTACCTCTATGCCAAGATAAGAGGATGGGAAGTAGTTTAAGCAGGATGAACACCGGTGGGATGCGGGGACTGTTTTTGAACAACAAGCTCGTCTCGTATGTCAGATATCCGGAGACCAAGCCACGACACGTCCAAGAATTTGAACCGCTGATGAGTTCTAATAAGAGCAAAACTCGAAACCACTGCTCCCCCCTTCGGCGTGGACTAACCAGAATAAGTAATCCAGTACAGAAGGACAACTGTTTAAACGAGAGTATGTGAAATCTGGCAATCTTACGAGCCATTTTCCCTATCGGTCAATCTGCCCGTTCAAGTAACTAACGCACCGTGCGGATCGGCTTCATCTCTCTGGAAACTGATACCGTCTTATTGATTCGGCGCTACTCTCTGAGACTGCGATATTTAATAGGATTGAAGTACGTCCACGCCATTCGCATCTAAACCAATGAGGTTAATCGAAGCCACGCTTACCTGTATTACTATTCTCAAAATGTGAATCGGGTAAAACAACAGGCTATCATAAATGTGCTTCTGTGACAGGGATTTTTTCATCGCTGCATCAAAAGTAGATCGCTATGGTAGCGAATGCAACACGTGAATAGAAGTCACTCTGTCACCGTTACGTCAACGGTACTTGGGTCGAAATAGCATCTCATAATTTGTTGTCAGCACAAGCAACTAAGTTATACGAGAGAAAGAATAGCGTTGATTGCATTTATCGCTGACTTAGCAAGAGACTTATTTTTATGTTACGATGACCTCTATCAGGTGGGTTAACTTAATCACGATGCATTCATGAATTAGTGTAGTCGGCCAAGACACCCAGTGTTTGCTTGAAAGTTACCACCCTACATTACTTACCAACGTCCAGACGCTGCAATAAGTTCTCAGCTTGCACCCCGAATGTAATCATCTTGAACATAGTCAGTAGATAGTGCGCTAAAAAAAATCAAATAGGTCATGTCCCCTGCTGCTGTTTTGACGTGAGGATAACGCCAGACAGGATCAGAGTTGTTGTCCTTGCTGGAAGAACGATTAGTTTAACGTGAAGAATTTCTGATGCCCAATCATCCGGACGACCCACGACCGTGTGTTCAGTCAGTCAGTAGTGCAGGTTATTGTGACAGGGTTTCAGCAATGGGTTTGCTGATTTTTTCTACCTGAGGGGCAGTGTTTGGACCCTCACGCCATTCCGAGCGCGTGTACGGTACATGGTAAACATCCGTCAGAAATGGAGAAAAATCAATAGGCAACACAAAATGCAAGAAAACACGAACCAATGGGGGGAGGGGCAAACGCTCCACGGAACCCCACATGTTCCCCTTAGTGTATACATGCCATCCGGTAGCTTTTGTGTGCGATAGTTTGAGCATCCACCATTGTTGAATGTCATACAATTTGAATCCTGTGTAAACAGTAAACCCAAACTTGGTGCTTGTTCACATTGATCCACCCCAGCTAAGAAGCAACAGCTATGCCAGGTAGTACCCAATGCCCCTGATTTCTCAAAAAGTCGTCTTTGTGGGGATTGAGAAGCAGCGCCGGAACTTCCAAAATTTCTGGCCCTATGAAACAGGTTGGTCATCTGCTCATCTGACAAACAACAAAGTTCAGGAGAACATGAAAAGTGGGTCCTGTTCGGGGAATGACTTAATAGGGACATTTTATTTGACCTCGCTCTGAAGGGATCAGCCAGAAAGACACAGCCGACACAGAGCGCCACTGTAGACTCTCTTTGGAACAAAGGCTCTCATGATATTAAAGTTGTTCAAAAACTAGGGGAGAGATAGCTCGCAGATAAAGGCAGTACATGGATTGAGAAACCACGTTCGATGAAATGAACAGCCAAATGTTACCCTACGCGATTTCAGTACAATAAAAGGAAAGCTAGATAAAGAAGTGCATATACATAAAAAGCCGGAAAATGCAGGACCTACCATGTCAGTTAGACATACAGAACCGGAGCCAACAAATGCCAGCAGTAGTCGGATTAGCTGTAATCCGTACCGAGCCAAGGGGCGCTGTTGCGAAGAGACAATGCGCTGGGCGATTGACATAGCGTTGTCAATCACTGCGGATGCCTGAGATTGGGCTGTGGGATTATCGGATTCTAGGCTAAACAGAAGAGCACGACGGAAGCGAAGGTGTTTGAGAAGGTGACAAACCACACGAACTGCCGATTCTTGCATTACTAGATCGGTTGGATTCGATGCCAATGGTACCGAGGGAGGCAGGACACTCCAGAGGCGAGAGAACAGGAGATGAAGCGCGGCGCAAATCTATGTAAGTCAAAGAAGAGGAATATTGCGGCGCGTGTTTGTAGTTTTCCATAAGTTCGAGATTGTTCAGTAATCAACGTTGCAAAAAGCGTCCGGTACGAAAAAAGAAGGTAAAGATGAGTTCAAACTCATCAACAATATTGTGATAGATCTTGTGGGAAAAAGATGCACTGTGGAGACAAACAAGATGCCAAAAACCTACGCGTTCCGATAATACTCCTCCACGCGGCATAGACTTGGTTGACAGGATTTCATCTTCGTCTGCACAAGTGAACTGACCAATGGACGAAGCCTTGTCATTTGAGGACTCATCTTCACTATCCGCAGAAGGAGCTGCTACCGAAATGCATGTACGAGTGTCAAAGTGCGACACGACGGAAGAAAGAAGGGATGAGGAATTGTTTACTATGTTCGGTCGGAGGCCAGCGAAAGCCAGTATCGAGTTGACAATAATGCGACCAGCCAGATCGCGAACAATGCGGTTGGATTCGCAAACTGCGGCTAAGATCTAAAAAGAAGAGATGGGAAAGAGGAAGAGGGAATTCTCGCGAACAGGGAGAGTAGGATCCTGATTCTGTCTCAGACTAAAAGCAGATACTTGAAACAGCGTGTCTGACACTGACGATTGTAGGTTAGTATGACGGCTAAGCCTGGATGGCACTACTTTCCAGGGAACTAAATTAGAGGGTCTCGAGATCAGACGCAGAGAAGACAAATGACTATCCTCAGATGCATTCGTTCCGTTCATTCCAAAAGATGGAGCAAAAAAGATTTGCGTAATGGACCTACACAGTACCGTATCAAGTAATCAAGATTCTCGATTAACCAGAATCCACGTACCGCTTCCAGAATTCGACTCATATTTCCTATCGATTAAGGGAGGCTGGATATCCCGTAGAAAACTTAGATGCCAGTCTCCTGATAAAATGTGGATATCTCCCGTGAGAACTTGTTGGATCAGTTTTCCATAAATGGAGCTGCAATTAAATACTTGAGGCATATGTAAATCACAACATGAATGAGAAGTTTTTCAATACGGAGCCGCTTCTAGCTTGGCATGGGTATTCGAAAGCCCCAACCGGAGCATTACTCAACGAATGTACGGACTGAGAAGCAGGAGCTGTAAGCTGAGCAGGAGCAGTAAGTGAGAAAATATAAAGTGGAACGGCGACGGACACTTGGACGATCCTGCACAGGAAAACAATCAGACACCAGCTGCTGATGAATCGTAGTGGATATGTAAGCAATATCACCAGGAGTGTTAACAGGCAAACCGAACAATTACTGGTTCAGAAGCTCTGCCATAGAAATGCACCATAGAATGGCTCTTTAGTGCAGCTCAGCAGAGGGGAATCTCGGACGTCGAACAAATGTACGCGTTGCAATCTACGTTCAGCTGTAGCACAATCCCGGAGCCTAGCTACCATGCTGTCCGAAGAAAGCACGAGGTCAGGTTGCCCAAGCCTAGATAGGGTAATTCGAGAGGCAGAGGTCGGGTTCGAATCACGGAACTTCTGGTCAGTAACTTTGCGCCCTAACCACCGGCTATCTTGCCCCTTGCGTTGAAATCTGACATACCAACGAGCAACAGAACCTGAAGACTATCCTGGTGAACAGTCTAAATACAGCGCTCATATGGCGGTGAGCGTGCATCACATGCTGCAATTGTAGTTGCAATGCGAGTTGGAATCCACCCATAGATAAACCGTCCAATCGATGGTGTACTTAACCGGTTGAAAGAAAAATCTGATCTGCCCGGGAGTGTTAACGGTAATATATGAGCGAGCTCAAAAAGTTCCTCTATACACCACGCTACTTAAAAGCAGCCTCCCCTAGACATCGTTTTAAGCAAAACAAACCACACAATCGTTCACCTCCGGGATAAACATGTTGGCGAAATCTCGAAATCGCTGATTGTCGATTGCTCCCTTGGAAGCCTCTTCCATAGCGAGTTCCTCTGCGCCATCTAGTTCCTGTGCAATCAGGTGACCCAGGAGATGGTGCAACGCACGGAGCCGTGGCTTCCACGGTATAAGAGGTTTCTTTTTCTTCATCCTCAGTCTGCCTGATGATACGTGGCTCTCCACAACAGAAAGCCCAGCTACCTGCTTGGCGATATCGTCAGTGATATGATTGGATGACTGGTTGGAGGTTGCCCGCTGTTCGACAGGATCGGAGAGTTTATGCATCAGCAAAAGTAGATCATTCAAATGGGCTTCCAGGAAGCGTTTTGTGGATGGTGTGACCCCAGCACATATCAGTTCCAACAAACGGTAGGCACGTTTCTGTAATACTCGTGACGGTGGGTTGACATGCTGAGAGATGAAAAAGGAAGGGATATGGTATAGTTCAGATATCATCCTCATCATACGACACAATAAATCATCCAGTGGTAACGTAAGTTAAGCATTCAGACACAACAGTCGGTTCGGACAATTGTCTTAAATATTGCAAACTGTGCGATAGCGATGTTTAGATAAGAAGTTCGACAGCAGATACCACTGATCGTACTAAGACTGGATTCCAATAGGCTTGAAGCCCCTACAACACAATCTGACCGGCGAGTCAGCAGCCGAAACAACCAGTGTGTCGCTTGAGGCATCAGGCAAACCATAGAAATCCGCCAAAAGTTCCGCATGTTCCGGTGGGTAATCAATGTAGACATGTGGAGTAGTGGTTCATAGGCCGATGCCGGGGATATGCATTACAGATGAGCTCTAATAGGGTCTCCTTTGGCAAGGACTGAGGAGGATTATGGCGCCGGGGTAAGATGCAAGCGCTAGAAAGAGTAATGAGCATGGGAGAACGAAATCCAAGCATGGCGAACAGAATAGGCTGGTCATAGCCAAGGTTGGAGCAACTGGTAACATGAGAAAACCTAAATTCATTGTGATAAATAGAAATATGGTTGGCCGGCATCCGAAAAGGAACGCCTGCATAAAGTAGATGAAACATAGGCGGTTTATGCGGAGCGAGTATTTGGTACTACATGGAAGACGCTGACACCGATGCAAACCTCAGGGAATATGATTGGCAAGCAAATATGCCACTAACCGGCCGAAGCATGACGGCATAGTGATGAGTGACAGGACCGGTTCTTTTACACAAAGGTTCTGGCCTCTTCCACCAGTTCCCCCAAATTTCAGTGCAACACCGTACTTCCCCAGGATACAGTGCCGTCATAACATTCCATGGATGACACCCATTGCTGTGCAAGTTAGGCGGGAATATTACATATTTGTACGATATATATATATATATATATATATATATATATTATCTCTTTC